CTCCTAAGGAAAATTTTGGTAACTTGGGATAGCTATGGACTGTTTTATTAACTTTATGTTTAATTTTCTTTGCTTTCTTTACGACTGATTGCCAAGCATCCATTTTGGAAGAGTAGAAAGTCGAGTACACAACACAGTAATGATCAGATTAATAAAATCTTTTTCATCATCACGCAATATTACGTAATTAAAAAGTCATGTGTTATCGTAAAAAATGATCGAAATGCTGGCGCGATCAAAGTTCGAGGGTTTTTCTTTGTAAAAACCGTCACGATCAGAGTCATGTGATTTTAATAAACTTTTGAACATATCCGCATCTTGTATAAACAATGCCAGACACTCATTCAAAAATCGATTCGTTGCAAGAATTAAATTCTCAACTCATTGCCACAGTTGCTGAGCTTAGAAAGGAGAATGCCGAGATCAAAGCCGAGAATACAAAATTGAAACAAGATATAGAAGCAAATGCTGAGCTCAAGACCAGATTCGAGGAGCTGGAAAAGAAAAATAAAACAGACACCAGTAATCTCATTGCTGAAAATGCTGAGCTCAGAGACAGAGTCACGAAATTGGAACAGAAGCAGACACAAAATGATGGCGTACACGTATTAGAAGATTCTATTCTCCACGAATCATCATCTGATATTTCTTCCAATATTCATACATACTCGTCCGAGCCTAAATCGTCGGAAAATAAAGAGATCGATGAATTCCTGGATTTGAAAAGTAAGGAAGGAGTTAGTAGCGAGATAAAGCAACGCAATAGGGAGAAGAAGCTTCAACGTGAATCAGCTGAAGACCAATCCCTAAACTTAATTTCAGATACTTCTATCTCTCCCGAGCAAAATCATGTAAGCGGAAAAGAAAAATGCCAAGAAATTTCCGTCACGAACTTACGTGACGATCGACAAGAAAAATGCCAAGAAATTTCTGTCACTGATGATCGGCAAAATGAAACTATGGAACCCGATGAAATTGAACCCACTAAAAGTCAGTATATAGAACAAGGATTAATAAAAGAATTACTCAGTGACATCTCCATCATATCGTCAGTTATAATCCCAGAATATCGACCATTTCAAATCACAACACAAAGCTTAGTCTGTTTATTTCATTATGCGTTACGATCTAGACACGAAGAAATCTTAGCATGGTATAATTACTCGGATAATTTTGAAAATAAAGTTATTGAGATTTGCAGTGAGACAGGAGCTACAGATAAAACTGCTAGAACACAATTATATAAGGAAATGTTAAACCATCTACCTGGTATTACATCAGGAAACTTGCGTATGAAAACCTTAAGAGCGAAAAAAATTCGGATGTTATTTGGGAAAGATGGAGTTGGAATAGAAAAAATTAAGCAAGTTACCTACAGTATATATGCCATCTCAAGTCTTACTAATAGTCAAATTCAAAACGTTATCAGGAATGTAATTTCAATAGAACCATTAGAGGTAAGTATTACAACTACTCCCTCTATACAGACATCATATACCTCTAATTCGAGAGATGAGATAAGCGAGAAAGTCAAGTCTTTACCGGAAACTGCAGTAAGTGTATTAGCGAATAATATCTCCCCTGAAACTAAGGTCCCATCCACGCCTCAGGAAAATATACAAACTCACGACCGTACTCATTTTCGTAACAAAACATTGGAACAATATCCCGACTTATATTATGAATATATGAGCAAAAAAAATATTGATTATTATGGGGTTAATGCTGGTTCGCCATGTCCAATATGCAAGTTAAATCATAAAGATGAGGATGGTATTAATGGAGAATATAAATATGGATCTTACTATATTAAATGTGAAGCATCTGGAATTGACATTATTATACTAGCTTCGAAATAATTATATAGATCTGCCTTCTCCCGGTCATGACACTCGAAGCCTGAAAATAATTAGGTTATAAGACATTTTTTTATGATATCCAATACGGGGAATTAAACTGCTTTGTAATTATATAAAACGGCAACATGAATACACAAACTAAGTCTGATAAAATATGTGCCTTGGCACTAGCTCCAATATTACATGTAACTCCCGAATTCCTGGATTGGCAAGCTGAATTAGTTGGCATTTTAACAGATAAAAATCATTCTAAATTATATAAGAGATACAAAAATGAAACTGGCCTCGATCCTTGGATGGATTCAAAACCCTCTGAATCTTCGCAAATTGATAAGATTGATAGTTGTATCTTACAGGACAGTTCTCCAGAAACTCAGATAATAATGACACAGCCAACAACTGTAGTAAGTATGCCAGCCAAACCTCGAGTCTCTGATTCCTCACGAGATTGTATTATTGAGATTTTGAAGTTTCCGGAAGAGAAAGATGTAATTATTGAAGCAGTACAGAAACGATTCCCTTTCTTGATATATACCAATTCTAATGCATGGCATCGAGATGTATTTAAATATACCGATTCAGAAGCTAAATGCCCTGTTTGCAAAGAGGTACATACACATCGAGGTATATGGGGCGATTGGAGCTGTCTCGATAAAAATGATCACTATTATCTCAATTGTCCCTTTCGTATTGATCAAAAGAAAGTTATAATTGCTAGACAAAATTTACCAGAAATTCAATCATTAATTCCAAGTAAGATTTATCAGCCAGAGGCAGGCTTACGCCAATATGCTGTCAAACATAAAATAGATCCCGAGAAATTTGCGGTCATTACTGAGGCTGAGAAAAAAAGATGGGATGGAGAATGTTTTCATGAGGATTTGGATAGGGATATACGGTTCTATCGTGGAGGAATAGAAAGTAAAGAAGACCCTAGAAAATATCGTAAATTTTTAACAGATCGGGATAGGTTTAAGTACTGCATGGCTAGATGATCTGATAAAAGAATGGGAAAAAATCCATACTCAATTCGTACAAATTTTTAACCAGGCTTAACAAGATCGAAAGGTCTTTTACATATAATCCTCAAATCTTCTTTCAATATAAGCCTAAACTTTTTTTCAATAATATACATGTATGTGATTTAACCATTTTATATATTACTAAACCTTTAATATAAGTTTATTTCAATCTGCACTAAAATTGAATCATATTATTCTAGAGTATAAAGTTATAAAATCAAATAGGTCTAAATCCCTAAAATTCGATATAAATCATATAATTAATAAATAAGTTATAAAATGGTTGATTTTAGTTGTTTAGTAGCTCATCAGGGTTCTAATTGTTCAGATGAAGAATGGGCTGAATATTGTGTGATGCCACAAGTTCATGATAATGAAACTCCCAGTGAGTGGATGAAACGGATTTGGGAATGTCTTACATATTTTAGAGAAAATAATCTCTTACCTTATAATAGCAAAAAATATCTTGAAGCTAGAAAATTAATACTATTCCCGGATGGCAGTTCATATGCTCCTGAAATTGGAATAGCAATATGTTTCTCTTGTGATCATTAATATATACTGGACAAAAAACTAAGAATATAGGAAATTATAACCATATAGGAATGGAAAAACATTGGAAATTTTCTTGTACTGATAATAAATACTGCAGTATAAATTATGAAGAATATATACAGATTAAGCAAAAATCTATTTCTGAACAGAATTATAATAATATGTATGCATTATACCATTATGAATTATGGATGCAAAATATTATTAGAAAAGTCAAACGTGCCAAGGAAATTGGTAAGAAAATTCGAGCATGTACAATAATACAACATAAATTCATTGAATATATGTATAAACCCTATGATCTCTGCACTTCAGAATTAGAATTACATTATCAATTACTATGGACAGTTCAAAAAGAAAAACGTCAAATTAATAATGTATAGGTATTAATATTTGTAAAATGAATTATTACCAGTATTAATATGTGTCAGAGATATTAGCTTCGCTATAACAATATATATAACTTATTTATCTGATTTATATTTATATTTATATTATATATCTTTTTTTTTCTATATCTTCTAACTGATTACTTTTTCTCTTCATACTTCATATATCACAAAACACATAACAGCAATAATCAATAAGGTAAAGAATTATATAAGTTTTGTCTTTTTGAAACATATTTTTCCTTATTTTTATTATAAGGATATGGATTGTTAAATTATTCATGTTACCATTAGTGAGAAGAGAAATATGATATAGTGTTTCTACAGTTCAAACCACTGAGCTATAAAACATGAAATAGTTAGCAGAATTTATTTCAACTTTTTTATTGTCAAACTATACTACAAGTGTTTACTGATTTCTTTATCATTCACTTTCTTTTTCATGCTTCTTACTATTTATAATATTACAAAAAATTGTGTAATTTTCAAAGAATTCATCGAATTTTTTTATAAAATAAGTAAAAATAATATATATTTTGTATTTGAAATTTTTTCATGGAAATATATAACTGAATTATTCTATAGAATATCATTCCATAAAGATTACTCAAATCTTATTACCCAATTATCTCCATTGATTGTCAATGAAGCATGGACACGTCTCACTGCTCGAAAACACAATCCATTAACTGAAGAGGAGGCAAGTAACATTAACCCGATTATTGAATCTTTTTTAAAACATGAAATTGATAGGTATTAACAAAAAAAACAGCATCAATGCAGTGATCCCAATTCTATATCAAAATTTCTAACTAATTTATCTTTGAATAAAGAACACTTATAACTGAGGCTTCTGTTAATAAAACACTTGTGCACAGTTCCTATACCAAAGAAGAATTTAATATACGATTAAAAGAAGAAACTGATGCATTGCGATTAAAATTTATTAAAGTTTCAAAGCAAAAAATACTAGAAATTAATATTGCTTTATTCTGCAAATCTGCAAAATTATATGTTGAAACAATGAAAAGCTGGATTCAAGATGGAAGTATATATGTTAAAATTCATAAACTTGAAATAAAAAATGAGAGTGATTATTCAGATCGAAAAAAGTAGAGGAGTATAGTAAATTTGATTTTTAATTGATTTTTATTTTTTTGTCAAATTCAATAATAAGCTTAACAATAGACTCAACAGTAGACTCGTTTAAAGACTGGCCCATGCTATTGTTGACTTGAGTAGACTCAACTGAAGGCTGGCTTATACCAATGTTAATTCTATACTTAATAGTTTGAAAATGTCACTTTAACAAATATGGATAGCAAAATGGTCTGTGGCATAAGTGACAAGTTCTATCAGACATATCATGAATTATTGATTTTTTTTTATGCCTGATGCTTGTAATTTTTCTGTATTAAATGCATTATGTGATTATTTGTGAGTAGAAAGAGGAATTGTAATAGTCTTTCCATTGTGTGTAGCTGTGAATTCCCTTTTCACTATTGGATCCCATCCAACACGATGTTGCCATTTTGTACCAAGTATCATTATAGATATATCTTTTCCATTTCAATCTTTTTTTGTAGGAATTACAGATATCTCATTTTCAAGAACTGTTATAGAATTTTCTTTAGTATCTATGGTTATAGGAACATTATATGATATACCAATATATTGGGAATCTCCAACTGCACCAGTAAGTTTGTGAACATTTTTTTTATCTATTTTTATTCCTAAATACTCAGGAATATTACCAGTATATAATGAATCATTTGCACCGGTATCTAGAATTGCGTAAGATATTATCAAGTCACCTATTCTATATGAAATCGTTGCCACATTATTAGGTTCTTTTATATTGAGAAAATCAATCTCAAAAGGGTTAGGCCAATTTTGTCTTATTTGTGCTTCTTGATATACTTTAATAACATGATTTAATGTAATAGAATGGTCAAGTTTTTCTGATTGAGATGTTTCTTTATGACTTGAAGAGTTTGAAGTCTGGTTCTTAATAATTTCAATAAGTGGTTGGAAAATAGTTAGATATTTTTTCACAATAATATC